CAAGAGCACCAAGAGGTCTACCCTCAACGCGCAGTGCATGCGCACACTTTAGAATCCACTACCATCATCTTCCATCGTCCCAATGGTTAAACTACAGAGTAGAAGAAAGTAGACTTTGCCGGAAAAGGAACAACGCTGTGCGGGAGCTGGATGTCCATCCGATCGTAGACCAACGGTTCACAACTAAGGAGAACCGAAGAACTGGTATCTTTTTTGCAGAAGAGCCGCCCGGTGAAAAATGAACACCGTGCACGCCATTGAGAGCGTGGGAACAGTAAAAGTGTAGGTGTTCTTCAGAAGATTCAGACTAGAACCTGGCATGCATGCGTTATGCGTATGATTTAGAGCAACTCGCCCTTTGATCACCTTAAACACGCTTTCACATTCCCTCAGGAAAGAGAACTTTCTTGGAGGAAATGATTACATGTACTACGTTCAAACGATGATGTACTTGCTGGTGTACCACACCATTTAAGTGATTCCATGTTGTTTTCTCGATCATCTCTCCAGTACCCTGGTGTGTATTTAGTGTATACAGGAGCATACAAAGACGCCCGCACACGCAGTCGATATAGCACCTGTTCTTTCTTTCCTTGTCACGGTTTCCTCGACCACACGTCGAATCGATGGATCCGTCGACAGAGATGCGTCGGATGCATGCATGCCAATGACTCCAGACGGCCATTTCGCTCGTGCGGTGCGTGCGTGCAATGCGCATCGCGAACGTACGATACGATCGTATATACCGTCTCTCAGCCTCTCAACCTCTCAACCACTCCGACAGCGACGCGGACGCGACGGACGACGGCTATACGAGTACGAAAATAAACACGTACTTCCTCCGTAAAGAAATATAAGAGCATATAGATCACTATTTTAGTGATCTAAACGCTCTTATATTTGTTTACAGAGGGAGTACTACACGTATGCAGTACGTACGTACACTGTCGTCAGCAGGGGCGCGCGTTGCCTGAAAAAACTAGGCTGGCAAAATTGCTCGATTATCTGTAGGTGTCTCTGCGACCCGATCATCTAGATGCATGTATGGTCCTGATCGATCGACCGTCCATCCTTGGCTTTTCTCGACCGATCTCGCTTTCCCGGTGGGCTGTGGGTGGCCCTGGTTCTCGGCCGTTGGATCCATCGGGGACCCCTGGTGGTCCACACGTGCGCTTGTTACGCGCACGCATGATTGCAACGTGACCCGCGCACGTACTACTACGTATACGTACCAACCAACCAATCTTCCTGCAGGTGCAGGATACGCTACCTCTCTTGCGTTACTCACGTGCATGCATGGTAAATGTAACATATGAAAGGAACGGCCTACGGACCTTGTTTACCGTTGCGAATAGTTGGAAGTTTGTAGTAACCAACTTGGTTTATGTTATGTAGTACTTTTATTATTCTGCGTGCAAGGGTTTTGAGAGCTAAATGTTATCCAGATGAAAATCTCTTGAATGCAGGACTAAAGGAGGGATCTTTGTTTACGTGGCAAAGTATTGTTGCTGGTCTCCAGACTTTCAAAAGATAGCATATTTTGGAGTGTGGGATCGGGAAGTAATATCAATATCTGGGATGATCGCTGGACACCGAGTAGTCCATCCAGGAAAGTTATACCTAGAAAGGGTTTTTGCCTTCTGAATTCTGTTGATGAGTTGATTATAATCCATGGACATGGAGATGGGATGAAGATTTAATTTTGGACAATTTTGTTTCGGTTGATGTTGAAAGAAAGAATTTTCAGGATCCCTTTGAGCACACAATTAACCGAGGATTTTGTTACCTGGCACAAGACTCGGACATACTCCTTTTCAGTCCGGTCCACGTACTATACTGAGTGGGAACGCCAATTTGGTGCAAGAATCAGAAGAGATGAGGTTGGACCATCAAAGTCTAACCCAGTTTGGGAGATTCTCTGGAAGCTTCAAGTTCCTAGTGAAATAAAGATCTTGGTTGGAAAGATTTACATGGGATGATTCCAGGTATGTCAGTCCTTGTAGATCATCATATACCGGTATCTGG